TAGTATTTAATGTATATAATATATTATATTATATTAATGTAATTTAATCAATATGTCTTGAGGGAAAAATGATAACGGATGCCCAATCAACTATCAAAATGACCTGTAATTTATCCTGAACATAGAATATGATATGGTGATTCCCAAGCGTAAAAATGTAAAAATCCATCCTATTAACTATCTAGCATATTTTCAAATATAACTATTTTCCAGCTCTTTTGAAGCATAATTCTTTGAACAATTCATGCATTCTTCACTGTCTCACCCAAATAAAAGGTTAGATGAAATACTAGAAAAAGAAGAGCGATAAGATACAATTTGCCTTGCAGATGGCATAGATGAGTACAAAAAAAAACCTGCTATGAATTGAGATTCACACATATGAAGATCAACTATGTTGCAAACCTCTGTGTATGTCTGTGCTGGTTTTATTACACATATATGAACAGTACTCTACAAACCAGAATTCTATATGTAAACCAGCCTTCTTAAGTCAATGAGAGTACACATTTTGTGTGGGAATTCAAAACCTGTGCAAATGCATGCAAGAGATCCTATTACTCTGCTCTTTTTGTATTTTCACATAAGATACTCAGTTCTCAAATACTGGGAAAAGGTTGTATGTTGATCAGTATTTTTCAAATTGTGCAAATGAATCTGTGTGCAGATTTGCAGAAGAGCAAGCTCATTTGGCATTAATTCATTTTCAGATTTCAATGTGATTTTTGTACTGTGACAATGAACATGTGAAACAAGTTTTATACTATTGTATAAATTGCTGTGCTGCAGAACATCCTACCACTCCACAGAAATGTTTAAACGATTTGCAAAGATACATACCCAAATTCATCACTAAGTCTATCAATCTAGTCTCTTACATATTATCTTACCTCTCCCATAACTGCAATAGGTGTCTCTCCTGTTGCCTGAGCAACACGATGTTCTACTAAGTAAAACATGTATTCATCGTAAAGCAAGCGGATCAGATGGAAAGAGCCAAAGCTAGCAGCACTGCGCAAGGTTAAATCTCGAATCACCATTGAGCTATTCAAAAATAAAAATATATATATATATTATACGTCAGACCCATTTTAACATTTATCCATGTAGACAATTCACCTCAAAACCAATACTCTCAAAAGTAATGTTCTCCACAAATGTCTATTTTATGGCATCATTGGAAAGAGATGTCCAAGAAAGGCTACCATTTGCTTCTCTTCTGTTTCTGAAGTTTTTCTTGGACACCACATTATGTAAGAAATAGCCAGACTGGTTTGCTTTGAGTTTTGATCTATGCATAACTACTAGTACTTGAACAAGTGTAAGATTCAACTGGAAAGAAGCTTTATCGAAAACAACGGAAATGGTAAGAAATCTACTGGATTTTAAACAACCTATTGCTTAAAATAGCATCTGTTGTGTCTACCCTCCCAGGACAAAGGTTTTAATTGCTGTAATTAAAAAAACTCACAATCTTAAAATTACCGAGAAATAGATCTGTGTGTTCATATTGTTTCAATAAATTCTGGTATCTTCAGCAAGCAATTGCTACAATCATGCTCAAAGAACAAAGTTTACTGTGATAATTGTTTCAATAAGCAACCAACATGGAGTATTTGTCTTTTACACATTAAAACCAAGTAATGTCTTCCTTATCTAATAAACATAGATACTACAATGTTTTAATAGCTCATACTAAAAATAGTGATTTAGTAATTCTAAACCCAAAATTTTCATATTCTGTTTCCAACTAAAGACAAAATTCCACCTGTGTTCATTTCCAGATGGCCCTTAAAACATTAAACATGGGCCACTAAAATCCCTGATCATTTGCAGATAGACCTGAGTTCAAAGTCAACAACAAAAATACTCTGAGAAACCCCCACGCTTTTCACAAAGTACCAAGCCACTGTCTGATATTGCATTTGTCAACTTTACTACAGGACACAATTCAGCAAATAATAACCTAGTTAGAATGTTTTAGTTAAGTACTACCTGTAGAAAGACCATTTTAACAGAAACTGCCGTGCTGCTTTAGGAAAACTGGGTCTTCCTTCATAGGGTTTCAACGCTTGCATCATTACATTATCAAGCCAGGCAGCCCACTGCTCCAGAGTGCTCTGCTGCTGAAGAGTCATCTTGAAATCTGTTTCTAGTCTCTGAACCATGTTGTCATCACACTGGCACACCCAGGAAGCCTGCTCCTGTTACAGCACATGGCAACTCTTGAATTGACAATACATAAGCCAAAGCACAGAACGTAATTATTTCTCAAAGAGTAAGCTACTCAATGGATGAAAAGGACAAAGCCCACTTAATAGACAAACTAAGAAGCAGTTTTTATTTTATGTCTATCATAATTTTGTTGAAAGCAAATGGGTGGGAAAAGCATAGCATATAAGAGCAGACATCAAAGAAATCAGAATAAGCAATGGAAGCAACACAAGTTTGTTTTAGTTTTCCACATTCATTTGCAAAAAAAGGCTTCTACTTTCCTCATTTTTCTACTGAAATATTTATGACTTCTCATTTTTTTCTGGGACTTCACACAGGGCAAGCAGCAAGAAGAGTCAAATAGGGGGGCTAAAGTAATAAAAAAAGTAGCAAGAAATCAAGTGCAACATTCCTTTTGCTCTGAAGAAGTTAAGCTTAAAGACAAATTCTGTTATTCTTGGCAGTAACAGATTATACATTACTGAAAGTACAACATAAACTGCACACAAATGGAGAAACACACAATGCATGCAATAATCAGCAGTGTTACCAAGTTTAAATACCAAGCTGATCAACTCAGAAACTAGGAGACAAAATGATGGCTCACTAACTGCAAGTCTTCTCCTTAGATTAGCCATACATGCCAAGTTAACACCTCATTCAGAGACTGTATCCATATCAACATATATATACTTCACATAGTGTATCTTTGGTAAAGAACTGTTGAAGGGCATCTGTTAAGACTATTAACAAGTACCTTAAAACACTCATTCACAAAGAAAAGAGAGAAACAGAGAACTACCAGTAATCTGAAACCTTTCACACTGCTGGCCAAATGATTCTGTGATCTATGTGGGAAAGTGTAAAGCTCTACATGTTAGACTGAGGCCTCAGGGAAGCACCTGAAGCCACATTTCCTTTTTTTATTGTCAAATTCACTGTGTTTCATTAACACGCTCAGGCTGCTTCCAGAGGAACTATCCAACCTTCAAGGCCTCCAAGCACTGCTCTATGGAGAGTTATTACTGCTAACTGGGCTTTAATCACATTTAAGTAGTAAGATGTCAAAGCCCTGCCCCTCCATGGTCCATTTCTCCCCACGGCCTCGCATGGTTTCCTTGGGAACATATGCAAGAAAAAAGTGATTTCTGCTGTTACTAAGACATGGTGCCCATTCTAAGAATGCATTTACTCTGCATTTGCATAGAAGTTGGAAGAGTAAGTGCAAGCAGATAATGGTTGAGCTCTTACTTTCCTAAAGTGTAAGCCATTGCATTTGGACTGAATTGCTACATATGTGAATGAGCAAAATGTTTCCACTTTCCTTTCTTGATAAAATAGTGACAGCTAACAATAATGTTCAAAATCATAGAGGAAATAACCCTTTAAAAAAAGCCTGTTATCTAAAAATACATTTTACCTGAACATTGGCAAAATCAACACGGTTAAGATCATTGAGCATCTGGTTGATTTGAGAAGTATTTTGAAGTACAGCACGAGCTGCTTGAGCCAGGTGATTAAGAGATGTGTATCTTCGCAGAGTCTGGGCAAAGGCACTTACAGCGGCAACCTGTGAAGAAATTTATTTATTTTTAAATATTCCACTCTTTATCTGTAGATTAACTCTACAAATTGAGTCTTTACTTTCTGTGCTAGTTTGGACTGAAGTGGAGTTAACTTTCCTCACAGTGGCTAGTATGTGGCTATGTTTAGGATTTGTGCAGGGCACAGAGTTGATAATGCAGAGATGTTTTTGTTATTGCTGAGCAGAGCTCACACAGACCCAAGGCCTTTACTGTTTTCCATACTGCCACGCTGGCAAGGAAGTTGGACGTGCACAGGAGCTTGGGAGGAGACACAG